CCTCAACCTAAAAAAAGAGCTTACATCTAGGAATCCTCACGTTTTAAAACAGCCTAACATTGCTAAGGACTAATCAAATGGAATAAAGAACTCATGCCCACACAAAAGCAGCACCCACAGCTCAAACACCTCAGCTCTCCGGCCTCCCTTGGAGCAACCCAGAACACTAGCGGCTCAAGCCGCAAGCTCTAACCCCTGCTGCCTAAGTCGGCCCCTCCGTTCCTGTCCCCAGTGACTTTCCTCCTGTAAAGCCGTGGGTGGTGCTGGGACTCCCCTAAGTCCGCATGTTCCAGAGCCTCAAGGGCCATAGGATACCACAGACCAGGCCAGTGCTGCCCGCTCCTCCACACCTTCCCTGATGCCGCTCAACACCCTAAGCCCGGGAGGAAGACGGCCCCGGTGATTGATTCCCTTGGACCAACCGTAGCCCGTGCAGACCCTGGGCCTGAGCTGCGGCCTCTCCTGAGGCGGGCAGCCTGCCTGAGGCTGCTCCTGGTGCTGGCTGGTACTGCACACTGTGACCCGGGCAGGGTAGGTGGCCCTGGTCCCTGGGGCGGTTCAGATGATTTTTGGCTCCGGATGGGAAGCAGGTCCCCGAAGCAGGTCCCCGACAAGATTCGGGGACCTGGGAGCTGATGGAGCCGTGAAACGTAAATAGCCACGAATGTTGCCGTTCTTTGAGGGCTTGAGGGCCAGGCTCGCTCCAGGCTCCTGGCCTATCTGTAAGGCGTGTGTTAATGTCATTGCCATTTTCCAGTAAAAGAGGCACAAAGAGCAGTGCCTCTTCTGCAGGGTCTTACCTGGGGCGTGAGATAGGACGAGTCTAAATCCCGGGCTGGGCCTCCAGGCCCGCCCCTCCCCACAGACCTGAAACTGGCCCAAAGCAGCTTGTAGTAGTTGAGACCGATCTATCTACAAGACAATAATGCCGCGCTCTGTACTGGCTGATTTTTTTGTTTTTTTAACACTTTATCACAATGTTCTCAGAACAAGCTTGAGACTTAAATATTTGCAGGTTTTTTTGTTTTTGTCTTTTTTTGACAGAGTCTCACTATGTAGACTATGTAGCTCTCTGCCTATCCCGGAACTCACTATGTAGACCAGGCTGGCTTTAAACTCACAGAGATCCTCCTGCCTCTGTCTCCCATATGCTGGGCTTAAAGGCGGGTGCCGCTATGCCTGTCTTAGATGTTAAAAGTTTTGTTTTGTATTAAATGTATATAATTTATTTTTATTTTGTGTTCATTCGTGTTTTGACTGCGTATATGAGGGTGTCCCGAGCCCTAAAACTGTAGTCACAGACACGTGTGAGCTGCCATGTGAGTGCTGGGAATTGAACCCCGGTCCCCTGGAAGGGCAGCCGGTTTGCTCTTAATTGCTGGGCTGTCTCTTCAGCCCCCAGCCACAGTGGAGCCAGGCCGTGGGTCAAATGAGTTGCAACCTTGAGTTTGGAGAGACCATCTTCTGTGGAAAAAGCAGGATAGACTTGTTTATAGATGTTTTATAAATAAAACACTTTTAGGAGGAAATGTGCCAAAATATATACAGTTGAGCAAAGTGATGGAAAAAAATTGTGATAAACTATACACAATAAACTTACCATCTTAACCATTTAAATGGATGGTTTAGTATTGGGGTGGTTCACTTCATTGTCAGTTTGACTGGATTTGCACTCACCTAGGAGACACAGGCATCTCTGTTCACAGGTACTCTAGAGTTTAACTACAGAGAGATGACCCTGGAGCTGCAGAGATGGCTCAGCAGTTAAGAGGACTGTCTGTTCTTCCTAGAGGTCCTGAGTTCAGTTCCCAGCAATGAACCCCCAGCAACCCCATGGTGGCTCACACACATCATATTGGGATCTGGTGCCCTCTCCTGGCATGCAGGTGTATGTGCAGATAGAGTGCTCATTAAAATAATAATACCTACTCTCAGGGTGGGCAGCGCCCTCCCATGGACAGGGGTACTGGACTGCGTACAAAGAAAGAGAAAGAGAAGGGTAAAAGCCTGCTGGGCCCCAGCATTCCTAGGTGTGAGGAGTCTTGTCTGCACACTCCTGCCTTCCCCACCATGACGGATTAGACCCCCTCGAGCCAGGAGCCTCTTTCCTTACATGGCTTCTGACAGCTGGTAGGAAAAGTAGAAAGTCTTATTGAGAGGAATAATGGTGCAGCCAACCTCCACAGCTTCTCATCTGGAAGGTTTCCATCCCTCTGTCCCCACTCCTGGTGAAGGTGCTCTTGAAAATGTATGCATGTGTGTGTGTGTGTGTGTGTGTGTGTGTGTGCAGGTACATGCACAAATGTGTGTGTCTGCCTGTGCAGGTGTGTGCATGTGTGTGCATGTCTTCATGCTGTGGGTACATGCATGTGTGTGTCTCTATGTGTTCTTGTACATACTCATGCATGGGTGTAAAGGCGCATACATGAGAGAGAGTGTGTGTGTGTGTGTGTGTGTGTGTGTGAGCTGGAGGATAGCCTCAGATCCTCAGTAATGCCACCCGCCAGGCGTTGTCTCACAGGTTCTAAGGATTGAGTTGCTCACAAGGCAAGTGCTTTATGGACTGAGCCCTCACTCCCACCCGCACCCCTTTATTATCCACATTCTCCACACTTCTACAGTGAGCATTTGTTATTTGTATAATTGAGCAAACAGCTCCCTGCATCTATTATGGCTCTAACACCTCCCCCATAAGGCTCTTGTGTTGGAAACTTGCTTCTCAGTGCCCAGTGCAGCCATGTTTGGAAGTGGAGCTCTGAGGAAGTAATTGGATCAATAAGTACTCTATTGATGGATTCACAGGTTCATGGAATTACTGGAGGGTGATGAAAACTTCCAGAAGTAAGGCTAAGTTACAGCAAGTAGGTCACTGAGGGAAAGCCCTGGGTGTTTCACTGCACTGTTTTCCTGCTTCCTGCCTAAGAAAAGCAGCCTCACAGTGCCGTGCCCTTCTCTCTCACCACAGGCAGAAATAATGGAGCCTAGCCTGGTGTGGTGGTGCACCGCTATAATCTTAGCACTCAGGAGGCAGAGGCAGGTGGATCTCTGAATTTGAGGCCAGCCTGGTCTACAAACTGAGTCTAGGACAGCCAAGGCTACACAGAGAAACCCTGTCTCTCAAAAAAAACTAAAAAAAAAAAAAAAAAAAAAAAGAAGAAGAAGAAGAAATAAGAAAGAAAAAGAAAAACCAAAGGAAGAAAGACCATAGACTGACCACAGCTCAAAGAAATCTTATTTATTTGGTTTTCCGTGGGAGTTTTAGTGTGTAGCCTAGGCTATCCTCAAACTCATGATCTTTCTATCCTCACTTCCCAGATGCTGGGATTACAGCTGTGTATCACCGTGCCCAACTCACCACCTTTAAGTTGTCTCTGTCATGTCGTTGTCACAGTGATGGAAAACAAACCGACGCCATTCCCTTCCCCGGGTGAAGAAACCTAGGTCACCAATTAGGAGGTCTGCAGGCTCACTGGGCAGACCCTAGGAACTTGCAGCCAGACACAGCGCATCCATTAATATGGTCCCTCCTGAGCACCAGGTTGTCCCTGGAATTCAGGATGGCATAAAATTTCGCAGAAGTATTGTCCCTAGCTCCCAGCCCCCTCAGCAGAACTTTTTTATGGCTGTGATAAAACATCGACCAAAGCCACCTTGGGGAGGAAATGGTTTATTTCAGCTTAGAGTCCATCATCAAGGGGAACCGAGGCAGAAACCTGGAGGCAGGAACTGGAGCAGAAGCCTCGAGGGAACCTGGCCAGCTGGCTTGCTCCCCCGTTGCTTGCTCAGCTTGTTTTCTTAGGTAGCCTGGGACCACCTGCCCAGAAGTGGCACCACCCGAAGTGGGCTGGGCTCTGCCACATCAATCACTGACCATGAAATGTCCCACTCTAGACATGTCCACAGGTCCACCAGATGGATGTAATTCCCCAGCTGACGTTCCCTCTCCACAGGGGACCCTAGTTTGTGACCAGAACTCTGTCCCTGCATGGCCACTCCTGCTCCTTAGTTGGCCTGTGCTGCTTCCCCCAGAGGTCCCCTGGCTAACAGGATCCAGCACCTTGCTCAGTCCGTCTGCTGGTGAGAAAGGCAGCCGGCAGCTCGGAGTGTCAGCCCTGTTGGTTCCAGGACAAGAAAAGGACCTGCCCCGGACAGCTTGGCACAAGGGCACAAGGAGGTCAGAGAGAAAGCAGGTTTGGGGAATAGTAATCTGAAGCCGTTGGTTGGTTTTGTTACGCCCACAGCTGAAGGGTGACACTGGCAAGTGGGCACCCCTTTCATTTTGCAAGCAGGGAGCCAGAGCCTAGGAAGGAGCATTGATTTGCTTGTTGCCGCAAGGCAAGGTGGTGACAAAGGCTGAGACCAGATCTCCCCTGGACCTCTGGGAACCTCTATCACCTGGCAGCACTCTTGGACTCTGATTTCTGTGCCAAATGAGAGCCAGGAAGGGACAGGATGTGAAGATGGTCTCAAAGGCAGTACAAGGGCTGGAGAAGGACAGATAGGCAGAAGTTCAGACGTTACCAGAATGGCAGCTAGTCCCTGGTGGAAACATGTATGAACTTGAGAGGAAAGAGGGTCCCCGGAGGGATAATTGCTGAGCCCTAGGGGACTATGACGGTTCTGTAGGGAAGAATTTACCTGGGAGTCTGGGGTCAGGAGGGACATACAGCATAAGCCTGGTTCAATCTGGATTTTGTTTTTTTGAATGTGAGTGTGTGCTATGTGCAGGTGAGTGCCTTAAGAAGCCAAGAGAGAGTGTCAGATGGCCTAGAGCTGGAGTTACAGACTGCTGCAAGCTGCCCTGTGGGTACTGAAGAGCAGCAAGCATTCTTAACTGCTGAGTCAGCTTTCCAGGCCCTCAGTGCGAGTCTTTGGCAATCAGGGCTCAATCCTCTTTTGCTTGCTGTTTTCTTCAAGGCAGGAGTCACTTTCCAAGCTCTTCTGAGTGGCTCCCCAGACTGTCTGAGGCCCTGGGGGGTGAGGCTGCTTCCAGATTTTACTCAGGAGAGGTCTGTCATTTGCTGACGCGCTGGCTCTGCATTCTCGGCCAGGGGTCCAGCCCTGCTGTTCCTGGAGCCCAGGTCACACAGGGTGCTGCCTGTGGTCAACCTGCTGAGGTTATGGGAGCCATGACATGGTTGGTGGCGGCGGCCCCGGCCCTGAGTTCCAAGGCCCAGGGCTTGCCGGAAGGTCTCCCGGAAGCGACTGGACATGAGGCTGTAGAGCACTGGATTGGCTGCTGAGCCAAGGTAGAAGAAGACACCAGAGACAACGTGCACAAACTGGAAGGCCAGGAGTAGGCCCTCGGTCCAGTGCGACACCAAGCTCCACATGAGGCGGTCAGCGTGGAATGGAGCCCAGCAGATGCCAAACACCACCACCAGTGCGACTGCAAGCACAGAGGAGAGAGGCCTCATTTGCTCTGTCGTGGCTGGCTTTGCTTCTCCAGCCCACTATCCCCCATCTTTGAAAAGAGGACGGGAGAGCCAAGCAGTGGCACATGCCTTTGATCCCAGCACTCAGGAGGCAGAGGCAGGCGGATCTCTGTGATTTCGAGGCCAGCCTGGTCTATAAAGTGAGTCCAGAACAGCCAAGGTTACACAGAGAAACCCTGTCTCAAAAAAAAAAAAAAAAAACTAAAAGAAGGAGGAGGAGGAAGAAGGGGGGAGGAGAGGAGGTGGGGGAGGGGGAGGAGGAGAAAAAGTGGACAGGAGAGCCAGGCAATGGTGGCACAAGCCTTTAATGCCAGCACTTGGGAGGCAGAGGCAGGTGACACTCTGAGATGGAGGACAGCTTGGTCTACATAGCAAGATCTAGGAAATCCAGGGCCACACAAAGAAAAACCCTTTAATCCAAGCGCTCAGGGAGGCCGAGGTAGTTGGATCGATGTGAATTTGGGGCAAGCCTAGTTTACAAAACAAGTCTAAGACAGTCAAAGGGCTACACAGAGAAACCCTGGTGGGGGGCCGGGAGGGGGGAACGGAGCGCGCTGTAAGCACAATTCTTTCCCCAGACCCGGAGAGGCCCCTCCCCCTCCTCAGCAGTGACACTTACACAGCATCTTGGTCACCTGCCTCCGCGCCCTGTCTCGGAGCTGAAGCCTTCTGGGACCCGTCTTCTGAAGCGCCGTGGCTTTCCTGCTCTCGGCCCCTTCTTCCAGCAGCTCCCTCTCCCTCCGCAGCCGCAGCCCGATGAGCAGGTAGAGCACAGTGATGGTGAGCATGGGCAGGCCGAAGAAGAGCAGCGCGGTGGTCTGTATCACTAAGCTGTAGAAGGCCCGGGGGCGCACCAGCGTACACACAGCCGAGTCGGGCACCAGTCCCCGGCAGGGCACGTGCAGCTGCTGGAGGCCGTGTAGGCTGGTGTTGGGCAGGGAGAAGAGCACAGCGAGGACCCAGATGGCCCCCACCATGCGGCGCACATGGGCCCGTGTCATCACAGACTTGGCTTGGAGCGGGTGAACCACCGCCACATAGCGCTCCACGCTCAGGGCAGTGACGTTGAGCACGGAAGCGAGGCAGACAGTCTCAAAGAGCAGGGTCCGGAAGTAGCAGCCACCGGCGCCCAGCTGGAATGGGTAGTTGTGCCGCATCTCGTAAAGCTCCAGGGGCAGGCCTACCAGGAGCACCAGCAAGTCGGACACGGCCAGGCTGAAGAGGTAGAAGTTGGTGGGCGTGTTCATGGCCTTGTGGCGCAGGATGACGGTGCAGGTCAGTGCGTTGCCCAGAGTGCCCACCACAAAGATCAACAGATATGTGGCACAGATGGGCATGAACAGCTCTGTCTGCTGTGGCCCCAAGTACTTCAGCCTCAGGGCCTCATCAGTCAGGTTCAAGTCCTCAGGGTCAAAGTTTCCCTTGACCTCACTGCCATTGCAGAGCATGGCGCTCCTTGAACCATTTGGGGACAGCTCCCCAGAAGAGATGGAGCAATTGAGGCAGGCAGGAGTCTGTGGAATAGAGGGGAAGATGCCCAGACGTCATTCAGGTAATCCCAGCTCTGTCCTAAATTATCACACTGAAGGTCCCACACCGAAGAGGACTGGTAGTCTCACGCCACTGAGAAAGAAAAGCATCTGCCGCCCACTGTAAAAGCACATCGCAACTGCAAAGTAGTCAGGGTTCAAACCTTGAAAATGGTAAAATTGCCTGGACAGTGGTGATGTAGGCCTTTAATCCCAGCACTCGAGAGGCAAAGGCAGGCAGATCTCTGTGAGTTTGAGGCCAGCCTGGTCTACAGAGCGAGCTCCGGGACAGCTAGCACTGCAGAGAGATAGAGAGCGAGACCCCCCCCCCTCTCTCTCTCTCTCTCTTTCTCGAAGAAAATTGGGGCCAGCGAGATAGCCACCAAGCCCGATGACCTGAATTCAATCCCCCAGGAACTACATGATAGAAGGAAAGACAAGAACCAACTCCAGGAAGCTGTCCTCTAACCTCTACACACACGCCATGGGCAACAAAAACATACGTGCGCACACACACACACACCACACACACACACACACGTAATCATTTTGAAATAAGGTTGGCCCCTTACCTGTCATGATCTACTGAAACCTTTGAATAAATGACAAGTTCTCCCAAGAACAGGCCTGGCTATCTCCTTTGTTATCCCTTTCAAGATGGACGGCAGAGAGGGCCAGTCGATACGTACATCAGAAAAGTGGGCACAACTGCAGTCTTGCTTCATGTATAAGAGCCGGGGCTCAGGGCTCTGAAAGCAACTGCTAGGGCAGACCCGACCTCACCAGCTTCAGGTATTTAATTCACAAAAAGAAGTGACACAGGGCAGGCCTGACATACAGAAGGTTGTGTGGGACCTTGGGGTGGAGAGAAAGCCACCATAGGGGTTAAGTGAAGGAGTAAAAAAAAGCTAAAAACAGTACTTTGACCCAAAATTGGTTCTGTTTTCTGACAGCTAAATCATTCCCAGTCTAAATATTTGATATCGTTGGCTCCTTCTATGCCTAGGGTTCTTACTACTCAGAACTCTCAGTGTAAGAGGCGCTGAGAATGGGCAGGTGATAGCCCCATGCCTAGAGGAAGGGTCACCGGGGGGCAGTCAGCAGCGCTGAGTAATCAGAGAAATGACAGCAATAACCCGACAAGCTGAGAGGTCTCCCCCACCTCCCTCAAGGGCTCCACAGAGTGTCCTCACCCATCTCACCCTGGGAGCCACGCCTGTCAGACCGCAGCACCCTGGCCAGGACCCGCATCCCGCTCACCTACCATGTCTTCGGCCCGGCAGGTCCTGGCTGCGCTCTAGCTCCCACCGACAGCAGATACAGATAGATGCTGAGCTGCAGGCGACTTACAGCGGCCGCCCCTCTCCGCCTCCCCGGTTGCTTCGCCTGTGGTTCTTTAGATCGCCACTAGGGGGCAATACTGACCTCGGAGCTTGGAGTACCTAGGACCACTCACCATGGACCGTACCTGCTGAGAGCATCTTCTCCAGTGCCTTCGCAACAATCCCGTTTCACAGGTCAGAAAAATGAGTCTGAGAGAGGAAGTCCGTGGGACCTGGGTCTAACATGCTGCCCCCACAAACTTGCAGTGTGCTGGCTTTAGCGTAACTCTTTCCGTGCCCCGCAATTCTTTCGGACCCTCATTTTCAGATACACTTCCATATGCACCCCTTCAGCCCCAGAAAGTCAGCAGTCCAAAGAGTGTCATCGCTGAGAATCCGCTGTTACACTCACGGAAATCCCTCCAATACACACGATCTCATTACGGGTCTCCAGTCCCAGCGCCCAGACACTAGCCTCCATCCGCCAAGGGACTCCCCCTCCCTCCCGCCAGCACCTCTTCCCACACGGACCCTTTTTCTGAGCATTGTGGGGACCCACTTTTTCACTCAAAAGGGCACACAAAAGTCTAGCGTGATGTCAGACCCCTCACTCACCATCTGCACTTCTGTCTTCAATGTCCCTCAGCTTCCCAGGGCCTCCCACCCATGCCAACATCCCCTTTACCCCACCCCCTCAATGCCCTGGCTTCTTAAGAACTCCATTTATAAACAGTCCTGGCATAGAGAGATTGTGGGAAACTCTGGGGCACTTGTTCCTCAGAGCTCTAGGAGAAAGAATTTTGAAAGCTTTCTACTCAGCTGCAGATGGACCAACCAGAACTAAGTCTTCAAGAGAAAGGCTACTGCCATGACAGAGGAGTGACAAGGCTCAGCAGCTCTCAAAAACAGCTCCCCATGGTCTCCTGAGGAGCACTTCTTACTCTGCTCCCATCTCCAGGTCGCAAACACAGAACGCATTGTACACACCCCTGTGGATCTTTTGAAAATGTTCTAAACTCATGAAGGATGGAGAATGACACTGCCCCTGACTGACAGAGGACAGATAGCTCAGGGCAATCAAGAATCCTTCTGCTGGCTGTGTCATTCACTCAGCATCGACAGCCATCATGCTAAAGGGCATCCCTGCAAAAGGAGGACCCTTGTTCCCATGGCTGTAGCCCTTATTCGTGCTCTACCCAAAGTACCCTGGTTGGGGTCTGAGCTTGAGAATACATGGCAAGGTGTTCCATCGGAACCAGCACCGCCTGCTCTGAGGCGGCCTTCCTGGATTGGGCGGGTGTGTATATCTGTTTCCTGAGTTTGATGGATGGTTGGCACCAGCCTAGACCAGGGCTCAGCATTATACCAAGGCCAGGTGCATGGGCAGGGCTCCTGGAGCTGAGGTGAGTGCATAGCTCCTATCCCTCCATTCCCTCCTGAGGCCCGTGAGCCAGCTTCCTCAGCTCAGGTCCACAGTAGAACCCACCTCCTAAGCCTCAGGCTGCCCTCCTGCCCTCCTCCTAACTGCTTATGAAGATAAAAGAAGGCAGTTGAGCCTTTAATCCCAGCACTCAGGAGGCAGAGGCAGGCAGCTCTCCAGGTCTGAGGCCAGCCTGCTCTACAGAGCAAATTCCAGGACAGCCAGGGCTCCACAGAAAAACCCTGTCTCAAACAAAAACAAAAACAAAAAGAAAAACTAAACAAACAAAACAAAATTTGTACCCCCTCCCCAGAGTTGGAGGGACAGGGAGTAAATCACTTTGTTCTCTTGGGACTCAGTGTGTACATTAGGCCCAACCCCACTTGAAGTAGGAGGAATCTCACACTGGGTCAAGAAGAAAATGCCAGGGTCTCTGTGATCCTGGGACTGTATCTCATGCCACTCTGGGCCTGGGGCCAGCTCTGACTGGCTACCCACAAGGCTCTCCTGGCACCTACCCATCCAGGGCAGTATAACCCACCCTCAGAGTCTTTTCAGACAGCAGGCCTCATGCTCATGCATTCTGGAATCCCTTTTTGGGATCTTCCCATACACGAGTGTTCAAACAAACAATCCAGCTGACATTCTAGAATAAAATCCCACCCCTACCCCTCTGTACCCCTACCCCTGACCAGGTTTTAGGTCTTGTTTATTCACAGGGATTTGCTGTGTCTGGCTTAGTGGTTTCTCTCTCTCTTTTAGTTTTTTATATTATGCCTAGTTAAAGTCCACATCCTAGCTCTATATTCTTGCTGGATGGGGTACCTGGAGCTGGCGCTTCTGGCCTTCTGGAGTAGAAGAAAACAGTTGCCCTACCTGATGGGATCCTCCAGATGTCAGATAGCCTAGAGCCAAACAGCCATGAAAAACTGCAGATGTGTTGCTGCCCAGGGGCTCACGGTGCCAAAGGCACCCAAGTCAGAGGGAGGGAGTGGTGGATAGCTGTGATGGCATCATGGAAACACCAGGTGTGTTTTTGTTTGTTTGTTTCTCTGTGTAGCCTTGGCTGCACTGGACTCACTTTGTAGACCAGGCTGGCCTCGAACTCACAGAGATCTGCCTGCCTCTGCCTTCTAGAGTGCTGGGATTACAGCCATCCACCATAGTGCCTATGTTTGTTTCTGTTTGGTGTGTTGTATGAGAGAGAGAGAGAGAAAGAGAGAGTATGTGCTTGTGTGTGGCTGAATGTGGGAGGAGGGTTTTTTTCTGATAGGTTTGTGAGGTCGATGAGGCAATTTTTGAAAAGCCCAAGAAAGCACACATTAAAAAAAAAAAAAAAAAGGTTTATTTATTATGTATACAGTGTTCTGCCTGCATGTACACCTACAGGCCAGAAGAGAGAACCAGATTTCATTATAGATGATTGTGAGCCATCATGTGATTGTTGGGAATTGAACTCAGGACCTCTAGAAGAGCAACCAGTGCTCTTAACCTCTGAGCCATCTCTCCAGCCCCCAAAGCACACATCTTTAAGGAACAAAGGAAATTTCTTCTCAGATGTTTCAACTCAGAAGGAAGCATTCACACAGTTACTAGGGAGCCATACCTGAGAACCGGGACCTTGAACCCTTTCCTGGTCCATAGGAATCCACTAAGGTCACAATAGCAGACTTACAAGCAGCTTGCTCTTCAGGAGACAGCAGTGACTCCTCCCAGCTGTCCTGAGAATGCAGTTTGCATAGAACTGGTTTCACACGGTGGAAGCAGTAGGTGAAATTGTTTTGGTTTTTAGACAGGGTCTCAGGTAGCCCAGGCTGACCTCCAAGTCACTATGCATCCAAAGCGGGTTCTGCTATGTCCATTTTGTGCGACTCAACCCAGAGGCATCATGCATGCTGAGCGAGCACGCCACCTGCTAAGTATACACCCAGCCCGGTGACGCATGCCTGTAGTTGCAGCACTCAGCGGGAAGAGGCATGGAGATCTCCCTGCTACCCTTAACACTAAGAGCTGAAGGTGGGATTTAAATGTAATGTTTATTTTTTCTTTTCTTTTTTCTTTTTGGCTTTTCCATACAGGGTTTCTCTATGTAACAGAGCCCTGGCTGTCCTGGAACTCTCTCTGTAGACCAGGCTGTCCTCAAGCTCACAGAGATCCACCTGCCTCTGCCTCCCTAGTGCTGGGATTAAAGACATGTTATCACCACACCTGGCAGAAAGTGACTTTTAATATCTAAAAATATTTTGAGGATTTATTTTATTTTATGCAACGAATGTTTTGCCTTCATGAATGCACGTGCCTAATATTTACAGAGGCCAGAACAGAGCACTGGATTTCTAGAACTGGAGTTATAGATGGTTGTGAGCTACTATGTAAGTGCTGAGCATTAAATCCAGGTTCTCTGCAACGGTAACAAGTGCTCTTAACCACTGAGCCCTCTCTCCAGCGCACAGTCCTATTTTTTTCTTTCTTTTCTCTATTTTTCAATGCCAGGAACTGAGTGCAAGGCCTTGTACTTACTAGAAAGCATCCTAACACTGACTTAGGCCCCAAGCCCCCCTTTCAGTCTCATTGTGCCGCCCAAACTGGCCTTGAACTTAGGATCTTCTTGCCTCTGTCTCTCCAAAGGCTAGAGCGATAAAGCATGAGCAAACTTGCCTGTCAAATTGTAAGAGTCCAGCCTATTAAAAAAAAAAAAAAAAAAAAAAGGAAGAAAGTAAGAAAGAAGGAAAGAAGGGGAAGAGAGAAAAGAGGAGAGGAGAAAGAAAAAGGAAAGAAGGGAGGGAAGGAGAGGGAGGGAGGGGAGGGAAGAGAGGAGGAGAGAGGAGTGGGTGGGAGGAGAGGGAAGAAAGGAGGGGAGGGAAGAGGAGAGGAGGGAAAGAAGGAGGGGAGGGAAGAAAGGATGGGGGAGGGAGGGGAGGAGAGAGGAGAAGAGATTTCCCTGTTCATTTTTGCCCATTTTTCCTAAGAACCACCCTGCCTGAATATTGTTCCTGGCTCTTCCTCCAAGGGCTAGCCTGGTACTTTCATGCTCAGCCCAGAGGCAGAGCGGACCTACTTAGTATGTTTCCCATGGATCTGGGGTAGGAAGTAAATTTTCTTCAACAAGCAGTCTTGATTTTGAGAGGCTGTGAGATTTAGCTTCTCTCATCCTCACAGGCATGCTGCTTAGACTTCCTGTACCTCAGTTTCCCCATCTAAAAAGTGGGGCTCTAGCTCTAGGTTTGTGAGGACAAGTGGCTGACTGTAGACCAGTCATTTCCTAACTGGTTTGCAGATAAATGTGAGCACATATCTCCAAATCTTGGTACATTTCCTGAACAGAAAGGAAGTCACTTTGGGGTGGGGGTTGACTCATTTTGTTTAGACAGGGTCTCATTGTGTAGTCTTGGCTGGCCTGGAGCTGGACAGGTAGACCAGGCTGGTGTGAACTCACAAGGATCTGCCTCTGCCTCTGCCTTCCTAGTGCTGGGATTAAAAGCGATTGTGAGTTTTAACTTTTTTTTTCCCCAAAGCAAGAAAAGGCCCCAGAG